ACTAAAATTGTAAACAGTTCAGTTTTAAAAATTAAACTATAAAACAGTATATTTAAGTTTTTAGTAAAAATGGATTAGTATTTTTTAGTATTATATAGTACAGTTAACTATAGTTAAGTATGGATTAGTTTATTTTTCCCAACCCTAGGTATGAGTTCTGGTTGTCTTAAGCTATTAATCGTAATGCAAAATTAATTGTTAGGGATGCGAGGAATTGTGACCTAGTAATTAAGGATAGGCTTTCTTCGCTGAGGAATCGGGTTTTAAGTACTTTAGATAGTGACATTGACATTAATGAAGAATTAGAACTCGTATATACATGAGAGCAAACTAGGTGAAATCTAACCCCAACAACATATTCATCCCATAATGTCAAATTCATCCGTTCATCTGTGCACTTCTGTCCAATTGATCAAGTTGCATGCATATTTACTTTTTTGTATTTGCATTTTAAACCAAAACATTTTGTTCTCAAGTCTTATTTAATCAAGATATCACATAATTGTTTAGGCCGTGAGTCTCTTGGGAAACAATACTTTGTGTTACCATGTTTATTAATTGATACGATTCGATACACGTGCCGAAGTCTTAACAGAGGAATGTTTTTATATTTTTGGGGGAGAAAAGTATATTATGGGAAGGGAGAGACCAAACTCTCGACATCTTGGATGTAAACCTATGTACTCAATCAAATGTTTGAGTGGCCTGTATCATTTGTACATAACCACCTTATTTGGTTTTTAATTCTCAAAGGGGTTATAGATTGATTGAAGTTATACCAAATATGTTATGTACTACTTTTACCATTTTGTTTGTTCATGAATGTGGTTTGTTATATGGCTGGGATACATGCTATTAAAGGGGTCTCAATTGAATTATTGTTGTGCTTGTTGAATTCACGGTTGAAGTCTTAGTGGAAGAGGCCGAGAAGGTCATGGTCGAGGTGACCATGAAGATAGTAAAGAATAAACCGGTCTCCAAAACTAGCATGACCGAGGACAAGGTAAAGACCAGGGAGGTCAGTTAAGTAGCTCAGGACTTGAGTGCTTTAAAAATCACGACTACTATGCAAATGATTGTAGATGGGTCAAATGTTACTATTGTGAAAAGGCTAGAAAATTTTCAAAAGAGTGTTTGGAACGTAGCTCAAAAGTCGAAATTGTTGTTGATGGCACGTAGCTCAAAAGTCGAGCAGAAGAGAATAGAGAATTTGGAAAGTGTTTTGAACAACAAGAAGAGAGTTAGGCAAGAATGTCGAGTGGAAAGGAGAGCTTGATAAGTTTGTAGAATGGAAAGAAGAAATCGACAAGGTTGTCGAGCAACAAAGAGAACTCAACCAAACAGCCGAGCGGTGTTATGAACTCGACAAGACAACCGAGTAGAATGGATAGGACAACAAGACTCCCTAATAGATCAGTGGTTCATTTGAATAGGTTGGCATTGTGATTGGAGAGCTCAAAGAAGTATATGAAAAGTTCGAAGAGCAACTCGACAAGATTGTCGAGTAGGGCGGTGAAGTCGGCAAAATAACCGAGTAGTGTGATGAACTCTGAAAAATAGTTGAGTAGCAAGGGGAACTTGGCAAGGAAGCCGAGTATCATGGATAGGTAGGCCATACAACTATGTAGTTTAGAGAGGTTCAATGAAAGATCGAAAGAAGTTATGGAAAACTCAGATAACCCGTGGAGGTGCCTTGCAAGCTTGATGGAGAGTTTTTTGGAGAACTCATAGGAGAGCTCGAAAGATTGTGTAGAGAGCTCGGTGGAGAGATCGGTAGAGAGTGCGAAGGAGAGTTTGCTGGAAAGCTTAGTGGAGAGCTCGGAAGAACGTGTAAAGAGCTTGGTTGGAGCTTAGAGAAATTAATGGAGAGCCCAAATTGCCCTATAGAACATATCAATAGCTCAAACATCTCAATGTGGAAGAAAAAGAAGTAAGAACATTACTCTCATCTCCATCCCTATCATTTTCTAGGAGATAGTGTAACCCCCCAATTTTAGGGTGTCACGAGTTATTACAGAAACTGTATACGTTAAAACTTATTATAGTGCGAAAATGTGTTTAAAGAAACTCTTTATTCAATGTGCATGATTAATTCAAAACGTAATGGTTCCAAAAGTCTTGTCCAATTACATTATTAAAAAATAATGAAAATAATGAAGAAAATAAAGTAACTTAAATTACATAGTCTCAGAAATCCAAAATCAAAATAACTTTAAAAGAAAATCTCAAGTATGTCTCCTATCATCTCTCGCATTTATCATGTATCTAGAACATCTGTAAAATCATCCAAAACCCATCATCATGCAAATTTCAACCTAGACAAACCCAACACACTGCATATGATCATCATATCATTCTTTACTATTGATAGGGGGAGCTATATGAAAGCTAAACCCAAACCCTTGTGTGTTTTTGATGATGACAACAACATAAATGTTTTAATAGTTTCTTGCACACATTGAGCAAAGCTATGCTTATATGGTTGTTTGTACTTGAACTATTTGTTTTGCATACTTATTGTTATACATGAGTTTATATCTGTGGTATGCATATTCATGGTTTTGAATGATAAAACTCTTTGCACAATGCATTATCTGTATGAATTAATCGATTACAGTGTTTATGTAATCAGTTAGATTCATCATATATCAGTATATGCTTAATTGTGACAAACTGCAAGTTTTAACCGATTACATTATATGTATAATCGATTAAAACTCGTGTCTTCGCTTATATTTATTTGCTGAGTGTAGTAATGAGTTTTGAAGTGAAAAAGTTTTCAAATTTGCTTAAGTGTTATACTTAACCGATTACACAATTTTCTTAATCGGTTAAATCTTGTGTATTTTGAAAACTTGTTTTCTTGATAAGTCTTAACAACCATAACAGTCATATTTTTAATTATTTTGACTTGCATTAATTGGACAATCGATTACATTAAATGTGTAATTTGTTAAATGTGTTTTATTGTAATTCTGTTATAGCAGTGTTAATTGCTTAACCGATTACATTAATAATATAATCGATTAAGATGCGTCAAACTTGAGAAAACTATAAATTGACGCACAATTCTTGCATTAAACAACTTTTGAATATTATCTTTCATATATGACAAAGTTAGTTGAGATCTTAAATTACAGGAGCGTTCATTCTCCAAGAATCAAGAAACATTTTGTTTGGAATATTCAAAGGATTCTTGAAGGAATTGTTGTGTGCTTACATTTGTTAATCACCATCTGCACTCTTAGGTGTTTTGAATCAGATTAGTGTTGATTTGCAACCTGTGGATTGTGGTTTCTCTGTTGTCGGTGGCCAGGAAGAGAACGTGGAGTTCTGGTTACTTTGAGGGGTGTCTCAAAGGGTTTATGCAGAAAGATGATTGTTCTTTTTGTGTTGTTTTTCTATATTAGATTTGGAATTGGACAGGAGATTGCATTAAGAGGGTATCTCTGTAATTCTTGCTGTATAACTCAATCTATATAGTGAAGTGTCTTTCAATCTCAGGTTGATTGAAAGAGGATTGGATGTAGGCATTGAGGCTGAACTAGTATAAATCTTGGTGTTTGTCTTTCTATCCTTTATCTCTTTTTCATTTCATTACATTCTTTATTTGCTTGTATTTCAAGAAAGGGTTAAACATTTTCCAAAGTTTTTGAAAAGAAAATGTGTATTAAACAAAACCAATTCACCTCCCCTCTTGGTTGGGAAATAAGGCCTATCTTTTTCCACATTTACAACATATACTTGGATGGTAAAACCTCCAAACAACATACCTCTAACCCCCTTTTGGCATCAATACATATTATCTTGGAAAAACACAACAAAAGTCATACATACTTTCTCATAGGAAAAGCCCAACAAAAACATGATATAAACCCTATCATCATGCAAAACATATTCTCACACATACACAAGTATAAAAACAAGCATTTCCTTTCAAGATAATTAAGAACATACATTATACAACAAACAAGGTAAGCTTCCCTACACCCCTCAAGAAAATCAAGATTATACCCATCAGTCTGAGAAACAGAAACACCAATCAAGATCTCATGCCCATACAATAAAGCACAAAAGGTAAGCTTCTCTATACCTTTGCTAATCCTAAAGCTTTATCTATACCCCAAACAGTACAAATCTTCCTTAGCACTAATGTTTTCTACAATTGGGTCCTTTTCTACAAACAAACCAACATACATGATTAATATTAACACACAAATCGTCACTACTCAAACAAACCTACCAAATATATGTTGTACTTTATTATATTAAAATCAAGAAAAGAACATAACAAATATAATTTAACCAAGATGTAAAAACAAAAAACCAAAATTTCACGACTATTTTATTTCTTAGTATATTTTTCACGGGTATTTGAATCAAGGTAATTGATCACGAAGTCTTTTTAGTATTATTCTTCTCAATAGAGCCTAGCTCAATTTTTCTTTAATAGACTAATCTTTTGATAGCATTTTACCACTTACAATAGATAAACTAAAGGTGTAAATGTTTTTACACAATCATTCAATGGGAAACCATTTTTTAAGTTTATACAAGTTAGTAAACTTTTAATTGATTGTAAGGATGTAACAGTATAAATTATCAGGACAATAATCAAAATATATGTAATTAAAAATTAGTAAACACATGTGTAGGTTATACAAATACAAGTTTATTCTTTATATATATATATATATATATATATATATATATATTTACTTAATGCTCCGCTGTCAATCCCTTGAGATAAACATTATAAACATGTTATATTTTATCATTATTATTATTGTCTATTATTTAATTTGTCGTCTTTTAAATTTATCTAAAATGGTTATAGACAAAAGTACAAAACTGTTAAAAGTAACGGTGTTTCTTTCTCTAATTGTAGGTGCCCGAGACATTTTCTATAAGACAAGTTCATTTTTTCGACACATACCAACCACTAGATCTATAAATTCTCTCAAGGGACAAAGTTACCAGCAGATTCCTGGACTCTTAATTCTATCATCCTTGTTAACATGGATATGCCACACCCCGATTTCCTCTGTCATGTGAGTTTGCAAATTCTGCTCAAGTTTCTTTCATCATTTTCTTTAATTTATGTAAATTAGTTTTCTTTTTTATCACGAAATTAATGATGTTTAATTATCCGCATGCATCAATACCATTATTAGTTTGACATTAATTGTCCTTTAACATGCCAAAATCGTCATTCTTGTTCACAATTCTATTCATAACGTATATGTCTGATTGCATTGAGATCTGCTGCATGGATATGTAAAGAAATTAAAACTTTGAAGTCTTATGATAATACTATAATTTAATTTTTTATGTTGTCTTTTATACATGTCAATTTTCAGAAACCTGAAGCTAAGGAAACCGGAAGAATGAATAGTTCAAGGCACCGTCCGTTACACACTTGTGGACTTTCCATCTTAGTCATTGTTGATATTATCATAGGAAAAACCCAACATATGAATGGACCATTAGGTTCAACGTTGAAAAGGGTAACGAAGTTAGCCAAATTCGCCGTGCCCCTTATCTACGCCATGCAAATCTATTGGCTTACAATTCTCTCCTTCATCGATGATGCCATTCTAGCAATTGAAAAAGTTATAGAGAAACTGTTTCCCCATTCAACACGTGTGTTCGACAAAGTTGATGAAATTGTGGTAATGATAGTGTCCTTTCCCGAGAAATTTGAAGGTGCAATGAACAAGTTTCCTACAATAATCCGTGAGTTCCCCTTTCTGAATCGGGCACTGACCCTTATGATCTCAAGGTGGAACACGAGAACAACAGGTGTTGATAGGAGTTGCAATGAAGGGTACATGGATTTGGAAAACTTTCCTCCTATAATATCAGAGTGTGAATATAAAGGGATTCATGACATTGCATTGCAGAGTCTCGTAAAAGGGTCATACAAGGAAGCTTTGGAGAGAGGGAAAGAAGATGACCCACAAGAGAAAATGGAGATAGGGTGTGAGGTTGAGAAGAAGGTAGATAAAGGTGATTATTGTGAATGCAAAGAAGGAAGAGAGAAGAATCATATGAATAATAAAGAGTGTGATGATGCTATTGTGAAATGTCTTGTTGGAGAAAGTGTGAAAGATGGTAGTTAATTTACCAAATTTATCACTTGACAATTATGATTATAATCCATCTATATTGGATTGTTTCTTTTAATATTTTCATATTTTTGTATCTTATGAAGATTGATTAGAACTATAGAAATGTGTAGTTCCAGACTACACAAATTTGTACCTTATTTGAACCAAAAAAATGAAACTAGAATGTTTTTCCTATATTGCCTCATATTTATCATACTAACATTCTTGGCTTCCATGGCTAACTATTAATATATATATATATATATATATATATATATATATATATATATATATATATATATATATATATATATATATATAGATATAGATATAGATATAGATATAGAGTTTGTTCTTTTAATTGTTATTTGAAATCTTGTAAGATGTTTTTTTATTAGTAAACGTTAATTGTTAGTTTTTTTTTAAAGAAAATTTGAACTCAACCTTTTTCACTTTCTTTTTTAGTTTTTATCATTAGATCGTCCTTATATCTTCTACTTGTTGAAAAGTAATTGTTAATTAAATCCTTTTTAGCGTAGGTAAATCAATATCTTTGCGCTTGACCATTGATTAGATGTTAGATAATACTCTTTTGTTTAATCAAATAATGTTATTACTGCCTTAACCGAACGGAATAATTTACTTATCATTATTATTCACCGCATCAGCAATGGTTCATGAGGCATTAAAATGTAGCTTGTTCTTACTTTTGAAAGAAGAACAGCTGTTAATATATCGATGTCATCTGTTAGAATTCAGAAAAAAAAATGTTTTTTTAACACTTATACGTTAATCTAGATTAGAGAAAGAAACAAAGAAAGAACTGATAAATATAATCGTAATTATATATAATGGGATAAGAAGGAAAAATTCTCAATGAGTTGTCTATAATGTTTAGTTTGGTGTCCAAAAACAAGTATATGAATAGTATATTCATAAATGTAATCACATAATGTTTTTAAGAAATACTTCTAAATAGAAAAACACGAAGATAATATCATTTTCCCTAAAAATTAAAATAGACTGACTTTTTTAATAATATGATTAGCTTTCTACATATATACAATTAATTTCTTCTCTTGTTCTTTTAGATACAAACTTAAACACTTTTAAAAGGTGACTCAAGATTAAGTTTGAACATTAATTTTAATGTGTGGAGTTATCAATCAATCTAACAAAAGTGAATTTGAACTTAATTTTCCATAAAAAAAAATTACTACTAACATTTAGATAAATGAATAATGACTAAAAGAATCGCATACTTAAAAAATGACTCTAAATAAGAATGTAGATACAACTTCTAGTAAATTAATGTAATCAATAACAAATATTGTCAAAACAACATACAAGAAACTAAAACATAACAATATCCTTCTTTTTGTAAAAAAAAAAAAAACTAAATTTAATGAATCATCTATGGACAGGTAAACCCGCTGAAAATCATACTACCACTAGAATTAGAAAGAAAGAAAAAAAAACTAGGAATCAAGAACTAGTTACGATTTTAGAACTGATTTTCAAATTTGTGATGAATTTCTAGAAACAACCAAATCAAGCTATGTTTCACATTCAAGTCATTCTTTATACAAACTTGTATTTTAACCTTGTTTTGTTTTGAAGACCAAATGACAAGGATCTTAATGAGATCTAGCTTGAAAAGATTATGGTTATTAAATTTTATTTTAATTTCTTGTATATGAAAGACAAAACAATAAAGATTTTAGGAAGGGGATTATATAAATGTGAAGGTTTGCTTTAAGAGAAAAACAAAATAAGATGAACAACACATGAAGGAGATAATGTAAAGAAAGAAAGTAAAAACAAATAAAAAAGTGTAGGAATAAACTTAAATCGATAACAGTGTTTAAACGTTGCAAAAGAACAGAGTCAGGGATATGTTATGTTTTTATTATTTAAGGTCATTATTATTGTAATAATTGATAATATTATGGCTTGAAAATGAAAGGCCAATTGTTTGTCTTTAAATTGTAGAAGTTGAAGAAACTAGATCTCAAACTGCATCCATGTTGTGAAACGTCGAAAAGATGGGGTAGCAAGCTCAGACCGAGCTGTATGATGACAAGAAGATTGTAAGTCGAACTTGGTCTGAGTTGTTCAAACAACTCGACAAGACAATCAAGTAGCATAGACAGGTTGACATTTTGCAAGGAGAGCTTGGCCAAGCAGCCAACTATCGTGGGGAGGTCAGCCAAATACCTGAATAGTCCACAAAAGGGAAAAGAAAGCTTGGACATCTTGGTGGAGATCTCGTGGGAGAATTTTGTAGAGCGCTCACTGGATAGCTTCACAGAAAGCTCGGAAGAACATATAGAGAGCTCAAACAACTAATTGGAGAGACCAATTAGCTTGGTGGTGCTTTTGAATAGCTCTGTTGATCACGAGATAAAGGTGAAAAAGTTATTGGAGAGCCCGAATTGGCGACTACATAGCTTAGTGGAAAGCTTGACGGAGTTTATGGAGAGCCCGAACAGCCCGAAAAGGTGCTTGGAGAGCTCGCAGAACTCAGTGCAAAGCTCGTCCGAGAACTCGGTGGAGAAATTGCAAAGCTCAACAGTGTATGTTGATAGCGGTTGGCTTGGAGACCAAGTAGCTTGGTAGATGGTGAGGAGAGCCCAGTCAACTTCATAGAGATTTAAGATAGGCTTAGCGTGAACGATTATGGAGCGGCGAAGTCTACTAGGGTTTTGTTCGGGAGGTTGCTCAACCCGACGCAAAGCCAATTTAGCGGAGAGGAGCCATATCTTCGAATTTTGGAATTGCATCTTGAAACATCGGTGACAGTGTTGAAGAAAAAGAAGGATCACTTGATGGAAGCAAAGAGAACAATATTCACTACAAGAAAAATTCCATTTATATACAAATTATTATATACGAATTTTGATTCAGATAAGAGCTTTGTTACATATGAATTTTATATACGGATAAATTACATACTTCGAATGTAATGAAGAAAAGATTTATATACGGATTTTTCGTATATAAAATCTATATATAATGATGTCACCTTTTGGCGGGAGCTTTGCCAAGAAAAAATATGTACATAAAGTTTGTATGTGAGTTCTCCTTTATATACACATATTAGATACGGATTTTACAATCAATGATCCTCTCTTTTTTCTATTCACTCGTTTTATTTATTTTATTTATTTTTCACACTATTTTTTTTACTTAGTTTTTATTTGTTTTATTATTTTTATAAAATTTTCATTTTTTATTTACTTTTTGATTGTTTTTTTAAAACTTTTATCTCACTTTTTTTAAAGAAATTTTGTTGAGTGTTGACAATGCTTTAACCTAATTTAATCTATTATTAATCGATCATTTACACTATAAAAATATAAAATTTTAGTATGGGTTATTTTTAACATTAGTGAGAGGTTTAACTCTCGAAAAATACAATTTTCGTGATTGCAAAAACCCCGCCGAAATTAGCAGGAGTTTTCAAAAAACCGTTGGGAATGACAGAGATTTTGCAAAAAATACTGAGAATGGTAGGGATTTTGCAAAAACCGTAAAAAATGACAGGATTTTTTAGAAAACCACCGGAAATGGCATGGATTTTTCAAAAGCCGCCGGAAATGACATGGATTTTTCCAGAAATGCATGTCAAATTGTTTTTTATATTATTTAGTTTATTATGATAAAAGAAATCTATAATAAAGAAAAACACATAATAAAATAATTTGAAACAAAAATTAAATATTAGATAAAATGAACTATAAAATGTTTTGATACAAGTAATTGTTCAATATAAATAGTAAGATTTTTCAAATATACATTAAAGAGAAACATGTTCACTAAATGGAAAATGTTCATCTTCGTTTGGAAGCTTATGCACTTCTTCCATGTTCTTTAGTATCTCTCTTAAAATAAGGCGACTGGTTTCTGTATTGAACGTAAACTGGTGTTAGCATCAAGCTATCATATCAAGCTTTTCTTTATCCGATAATAATACGACTGTAAGTAAGAAACTAATAAAGAAATCATGAAATGAGACCAAATGAAGTTTTACACAATTTAATAAAACTCAAATATAATGCATGTCACCAATGGCTAACAAAAAAAATTAATAGTTAATAAATCAAATATATAACGTATTTGGATTAGCTATGAAAAAGATTACTTATAATCAGTTATTGTTACAATCCATTATAAAAAAAAAATTGCTTGGATATGTTATGTGACAACATATTATAAAATAGTCTATTTCAATAAACAAAATGTCTAATAAATCACATTTTTCATAATTAAGTTAAAAATTAAAAAGGTTTCAAATTATTTGTCATAATTTGTTTCGTATTGTAAATCATAAATAATTTAAGGTTAGAAATAAAATAGAAAAACAATAAGGAATTTGATTTATAACTGAGAGAGGAGAAAATGGCTTATGGCTTGTACTTTGCACTTTACATTAGATGATCACTTGGGATCAGCATTCAACAAAAACTGAACAAACAAACCGCACATAATCCCTTCAAAGAAACTCCAAGTAAACTAACTCCATTACTACCTACCAAGTTCAAAACAACGTTTGAGAAAATTACCTTCTGAATAACTTTCTAAGTAGCTTTCCTAAGTCAGAGATTTTTCCTGAGTAAGAGAGCACCGAAGTAGTCAAATAGCTAAAAACAAAAACTCAAAGGGCACGGTGACTAACATTGATTATAGAAATATAAATTATAAATTTAATATCATTTAACCTAATAAATCAAAACTAAAATGAACAAATGATATATAAGATAATCGATGTTATATGTACTACGTAAGTGTATGAACCAGCAACTACAATTGGAAGTCGAGTTCCAAACAAGGATTGAAGAAATGTGCTTATTCCAGAAACAAACAAGTGTCTGAAACACTCGTGTCTTCTAAGCCTACATTGATCAAAGCATGAAAGTATTACTCTTGACTGAAAGTATTCCAGAAACAAACAAGTGTCTTCCCTGCCATGATCACTCTTGATTGACTTGATCTTGAGATTGTTTTCATTTTGTACCATAGCTACAAACTTCTTGAATAACATGAAAGTATTACTTTTTACAGCAAGAAAAAAAGTCCAGGTATATATAGAGAA